ACCAAATCGAATCTGATTTACCAATTTCAGTGTAGTTGCGGAGCAACCTACGTGGGTCGAACAGAGCGCCAGTTACGTAACCGAGTGATTGAATATATTCCAAATTGGGTACAACGTTTTGTGATGCAATCAGGGTCAGATCAAAGGCATAATGACAACGTTCGAAACCATAAGATCCCGTCGTCGGCTGTCGGCCGTCGGCCGTCGGCCGTCGATCGTCATCTTCTGATGACGCAACATCCAGCTGACCGAAGCACTGCGTTTCGGGTCATTTACGTGGCAAAGAATACCAGGCTTTTGAGGTTTGTTCAAACCATTGCCATACATTCATGGAAACCTAATATTGTGTCAGCACAAACAGCTCTTTGTTCATGTGTCTTTATCATGGTGACGTAACTTGACTATTGAAATTTCCCCTATATTTGTCGAAAATTATGGTTTTACATGAACTTATATAAACAGTATGGTTGTGCAGTGTGCACCATGTTCAGATGCAGCGAAATCGTCCCGGACACGAATCGTGCAATGTTGCAACTGTGGCTTTTCTTTTCAAGACTATTTCGGGAAAAGCATGTTTAAATTTCCTCAGATCTCGTCTCCCGAAATCAACCATTAGGTCTCTCGATGACCTAGTCAGATTGAGATGTGAAATTGCCACAACTCGAGTCCGTATTCATTTTCTGGAACAACGTGCCCGTTGCAACAGATATCCGATTACGTTTTGCAAACGCTTACGGAGGAATAAAATCTGTGCCTCTACCAGGAATTTGAGACGTTTGATGCGATGTCAGATTGATGATTATAAAGAAAATCTAACGACACTTCAGACCACGTGCATCGAATGATCAATAATTCTTGACGAACTGAGCCTCGTTAGCCGAATCAAATTTACCAACTTGTGCATGGAAAACATACGAGAAGCCAAACTTTGTACATTCAACAAGCTTCAGAATTCCATCGTCCACAAGTTAGTCGAACCAAATTTTCCGAAACAACCAGAAAGGTTTGTGAAGAATTTGTCTCCGGTTAAACGAATGAACTTCAACTACAGGCTCTTTCGTGTGGTCTACGTTTCTGCATACCACCGTATAAAATGACCAGCATAAAGACACAGGCGCAATTTGAATATCTATTCGAACAACTACAATTAGTCAAACGAACTTGAAAAGATGCGGAGACTTGGTTCAAAGCAAAGCTGGTTGACTTGGAACGACAGTACCGGATGACATCGTCCAAACATAAGTCACTCTTCACGCCTGAGCACATTCACATCCGCCATTGATGAGCTACAGTTGTGACCCGATTTGTTAGTTTTACGCCCTAACAAGGGGTCCGGAGCAGTGCTGATCGATCGGAATGATTATGAGAAGAAGATGGAAAGTGTTCTTCATGATCCCAGCAAGTTTGTACTCGAAGATGACTGTGAAGTCCTTAAAGAACTAGAACAACAGATATCGACAGCAGTACAGTTTCTACTAGAAGGACACTTCATCGATGAAAGCACAGCTCACCATCTGAAGCCAAAAGGAACTCGAAGTGCACAACTGTATGGTTTACCGAAACTAAACAAACCCGGAGTGCCACTTGGACCAATACTACTACTATCTATGACAAATTCACCACAACACGAATTGGCCAAATGGCTGGAGAAATTGCTTGAGCCAGTTCATAAATCAATGGTCAGACACACTATAAAAAAGACAGTTTCGAAGTGGTAAAGCTTTTGGACCAGATCAATGTGAAAGGGAAGCACATGGCTTCATTTGATTTCCAATCACTGTTTACGAATGTTCCCGGTCGGGAGGTCATACGTATCATGTGTGATCATGTGGAGCAAAACGAACTGAAAATCGGTATACCAGTATCAGTTCTGGTACGACAATTACTACTGTGCACAACAAACGTATCGTTCTCCTTCCTTGGTTGGGCTTACAGACAAATTGACGGTGTCGCAATCGGAACTCCATTGAGCCCCATTCTGGCACATCTGTTTTTGGCTCATCTTGAGGAAAAGGCGAGCAAAATCCTCGAACGTTCACAACTTTACAAACGATACGTTGATCATGTTCTAGTCATCACAATAAGTCTAGAAGAGACAACATGGATTATGGATAAACTCGATCGCCTGCATCCGAATATACGATTTACGATGGAAACAGAAATCGAAGATACACTGCACTTCCTCGACATTAAAATGACTAGGAATAATGATGGAACAATGGCCAGATCTGTTTACCGAAAAGAAACTTTGACAGGCCAATGCTTGCAATTTGACAGCTTTGTGTCTGTGGAATATGAACGTGGTCTGGTCCGAACACTATTTCAAACAGCACGACATATCTGCACATAAGACATGATTGACAACGAACTACGACAGCTGAAAGAATCTTTGACTGGAAACGCTTATCCCGATGCGTTTATCGAAAAGCACAGCAAGCCTAAATTGATCAGACAAACGAATTGTTCAGCAGAAAAACTACTAGTCACCCTTTGTCTTCCATTCATACGTGATGACATCAATTGCTTGCTCAAACGACCACTTGGATCAGCGCTTGCCCAAAACAAATATTATGCACCTGATCTCAGAATTATTCATCGAACGATTGAGATCCCCACAACCTCGGTGAAACAACGTCCACCTCTGTACACCAAATCGAATCTGATTTACCAATTTCAGTGTAGTTGCGGAGCAACCTACGTGGGTCGAACAGAGCGCCAGTTACGTAACCGAGTGATTGAATATATTCCAAATTGGGTACAACGTTTTGTGATGCAATCAGGGTCAGATCAAAGGCATAATGACAACGTTCGAAACCATAAGATCCCGTCGTCGGCTGTCGGCCGTCGGCCGTCGGCCGTCGCTCGTCATCTTCTGATGACGCAACATCCAGCTGACCGAAGCACTGCGTTTCGGGTCATTTACGTGGCAAAGAATACCAGGCTTTTGAGGTTTGTTCAAACCATTGCCATACATTCATGGAAACCCAATATTGTGTCAGCACAAACAGCTCTTTGTTCATGTGTCTTTATCATGGTGACGTAACTTGACTATTGAAATTTCCCCTATATTTGTCGAAAATTATGGTTTTACATGAACTTATATAAACAGTATGGTTGTGCAGTGTGCACCATGTTCAGATGCAGCGAAATCGTCCCGGACACGAATCGTGCAATGTTGCAACTGTGGCTTTTCTTTTCAAGACTATTTCGGGAAAAGCATGTTTAAATTTCCTCAGATCTCGTCTCCCGAAATCAACCATTAGGTCTCTCGATGACCTAGTCAGATTGAGATGTGAAATTGCCACAACTCGAGTCCGTATTCATTTTCTGGAACAACGTGCCCGTTGCAACAGATATCCGATTACGTTTTGCAAACGCTTACGGAGGAATAAAATCTGTGCCTCTACCAGGAATTTGAGACGTTTGATGCGATGTCAGATTGATGATTATAAAGAAAATCTAACGACACTTCAGACCACGTGCATCGAATGATCAATAATTCTTGACGAACTGAGCCTCGTTAGCCGAATCAAATTTACCAACTTGTGCATGGAAAACATACGAGAAGCCAAACTTTGTACATTCAACAAGCTTCAGAATTCCATCGTCCACAAGTTAGTCGAACCAAATTTTCCGAAACAACCAGAAAGGTTTGTGATGAATTTGTCTCCGGGTAAACGAATGAACTTCAACTACAGGCTCTTTCGTGTGGTCTACGTTTCTGCATACCACCGAGTAAAATGACCAGCATAAAGACACAGGCGCAATTCGAATATCTATTCGAACAACTACAATTAGTCAAACGAACTTCAAAAGATGCGGAAACTTGGTTCAAAGCAAAGCTGGTTGACTTGGAACGACAGTACCGGATGACATCGTCCAAACATAAGTCACTCTTCACGCCTGAGCACATTCACATCCGCCATTGAAGAGCTACAGTTGTGACCTGATTTGTTAGTTTTACGCCCTAACAAGGGGTCCGGAGCAGTGCTGATCGATCGGAATGATTATGAGAAGAAGATGGAAAGTGTTCTTCATGATCCCAGCAAGTTTGTACTCGAAGATGACTGTGAAGTCCTTAAAGAACTAGAACAACAGATATCGACAGCAGTACAGTTTCTACTAGAAGGACACTTCATCGATGAAAGCACAGCTCACCATCTGAAGCCAAAAGGAACTCGAAGTGCACAACTGTATGGTTTACCGAAACTAAACAAACCCGGAGTGCCACTTGGACCAATACTACTACTATCTATGACAAATTCACCACAACACGAATTGGCCAAATGGCTGGAGAAATTGCTTGAGCCAGTTCATAAATCAATGGTCAGACACACTATTAAAAAGACAGTTTCGAAGTGGTAAAGCTTTTGGACCAGATCAATGTGAAAGGGAAGCACATGGCTTCATTTGATTTCCAATCACTGTTTACGAATGTTCCCGGTCGGGAGGTCATACGTATCATGTGTGATCATGTGGAGCAAAACGAACTGAAAATCGGTATACCAGTATCAGTTCTGGTACGACAATTACTACTGTGCACAACAAACGTATCGTTCTCCTTCCTTGGTTGGGCTTACAGACAAATTGACGGTGTCGCAATCGGAACTCCATTGAGCCCCATTCTGGCACATATGTTTTTGGCTCATCTTGAGGAAAAGGCGAGCAAAATCCTCGAACGTTCACAACTTTACAAACGATACGTTGATCATGTTCTAGTCATCACAATAAGTCTAGAAGAGACAACATGGATTATGGATAAACTCGATCGCCTGCATCCGAATATACGATTTACGATGGAAACAGAAATCGAAGATACACTGCACTTCCTCGACATTAAAATGACTAGGAATAATGATGGAACAATGGCCAGATCTGTTTACCGAAAAGAAACTTGGACAGGCCAATGCTTGCATTTTGACAGCTTTGTGTCTGTGGAATATGAACGTGGTCTGGTTCGAACACTATTTCAAACAGCACGACATATCTGCACATAAGACATGATTGACAACGAACTACGACAGCTGAAAGAATCTTTGACTAGAAACGCTTATCCCGATGCGTTTATCGAAAAGCACAGCAAGCCTAAATTGATCAGACAAACGAATTGTTCAGCAGAAAAACTACTAGTCACCCTTTGTCTTCCATTCAAACGTGATGACATCAATTGCTTGCTCAAACGACCACTTGGATCAGCGCTTGCCCAAAACAAATATTATGCACCTGACCTCAGAATTATTCATCGAACGATTGAGATCCCCACACCCTCGGTGAAACAACGTCCATCTCTGTACACCAAATCGAATCTGATTTACCAATTTCAGTGTAGTTGCGGAGCAACCTACGTGGGTCGAACAGAGCGCCAGTTACGTAACCGAGTGATTGAATATATTCCAAATTGGGTACAACGTTTTGTGATGCAATCAGGGTCAGATCAAAGGCATAATGACAACGTTCGAAACCATAAGATCCCGTCGTCGGCTGTCGGCCGTCGGCCGTCGGCCGTCGCTCGTCATCTTCTGATGACGCAACATCCAGCTGACCGAAGCACTGCGTTTCGGGTCATTTACGTGGCAAAGAATACCAGGCTTTTGAGGTTTGTTCAAACCATTGCCATACATTCATGGAAACCTAATATTGTGTCAGCACAAACAGCTCTTTGTTCATGTGTCTTTATCATGGTGACGTAACTTGACTATTGAAATTTCCCCTATATTTGTCGAAAATTATGGTTTTACATGAACTTATATAAACAGTATGGTTGTGCAGTGTGCACCATGTTCAGATGCAGCGAAATCGTCCCGGACACGAATCGTGCAATGTTGCAACTGTGGCTTTTCTTTTCAAGACTATTTCGGGAAAAGCATGTTTAAATTTCCTCAGATCTCGTCTCCCGAAATCAACCATTAGGTCTCTCGATGACCTAGTCAGATTGAGATGTGAAATTGCCACAACTCGAGTCCGTATTCATTTTCTGGAACAACGTGCCCGTTGCAACAGATATCCGATTACGTTTTGCAAACGCTTACGGAGGAATAAAATCTGTGCCTCTACCAGGAATTTGAGACGTTTGATGCGATGTCAGATTGATGATTATAAAGAAAATCTAACGACACTTCAGACCACGTGCATCGAATGATCAATAATTCTTGACGAACTGAGCCTCGTTAGCCGAATCAAATTTACCAACTTGTGCATGGAAAACATACGAGAAGCCAAACTTTGTACATTCAACAAGCTTCAGAATTCCATCGTCCACAAGTTAGTCGAACCAAATTTTCCGAAACAACCAGAAATGTTTGTGAAGAATTTGTCTCCGGTTAAACGAATGAACTTCAACTACAGGCTCTTTCGTGTGGTCTACGTTTCTGCATACGACCGAGTAAAATGACCAGCATAAAGACACAGGCGCAATTCGAATATCTATTCGAACAACTACAATTAGTCAAACGAACTTGAAAAGATGCGGAGACTTGGTTCAAAGCAAAGCTGGTTGACTTGGAACGACAGTACCGGATGACATCGTCCAAACATAAGTCACTCTTCACGCCTGAGCACATTCACATCCGCCATTGAAGAGCTACAGTTGTGACCTGATTTGTTAGTTTTACGCCCTAACAAGGGGTCCGGAGCAGTGCTGATCGATCGGAATGATTATGAGAAGAAGATGGAAAGTGTTCTTCATGATCCCAGCAAGTTTGTACTCGAAGATGACTGTGAAGACCCTAAAGAACTAGAACCACAGATATCGACAGCAGTACAGTTTCTACTAGAAGGACACTTCATCGATGAAAGCACAGCTCACCATCTGAAGCCAAAAGGAACTCGAAGTGCACAACTGTATGGTTTACCGAAACTAAACAAACCCGGAGTGCCACTTGGACCAATACTACTACTATCTATGACAAATTCACCACAACACGAATTGGCCAAATGGCTGGAGAAATTGCTTGAGCCAGTTCATAAATCAATGGTCAGACACACTATTAAAAAGACAGTTTCGAAGTGGTAAAGCTTTTGGACCAGATCAATGTGAAAGGGAAGCACATGGCTTCATTTGATTTCCAATCACTGTTTACGAATGTTCCCGGTCGGGAGGTCATACGTATCATGTGTGATCATGTGGAGCAAAACGAACTGAAAATCGGTATACCAGTATCAGTTCTGGTACGACAATTACTACTGTGCACAACAAACGTATCGTTCTCCTTCCTTGGTTGGGCTTACAGACAAATTGACGGTGTCGCAATCGGAACTCCATTGAGCCCCATTCTGGCACATCTGTTTTTGGCTCATCTTGAGGAAAAGGCGAGCAAAATCCTCGAACGTTCACAACTTTACAAACGATACGTTGATCATGTTCTAGTCATCACAATAAGTCTAGAAGAGACAACATGGATTATGGATAAACTCGATCGCCTGCATCCGAATATACGATTTACGATGGAAACAGAAATCGAAGATGCACTGCACTTCCTCGACATTAAAATGACTAGGAATAATGATGGAACAATGGCCAGATCTGTTTACCGAAAAGAAACTTGGACAGGCCAATGCTTGCAATTTGACAGCTTTGTGTCTGTGGAATATGAACGTGGTCTGGTCCGAACACTATTTCAAACAGCACGACATATCTGCACAGAAGACATGATTGACAACGAACTACGACAGCTGAAAGAATCTTTGACTAGAAACGCTTATCCCGATGCGTTTATCGAAAAGCACAGCAAGCCTAAATTGATCAGACAAACGAATTGTTCAGCAGAAAAACTACTAGTCACCCTTTGTCTTCCATTCATACGTGATGACATCAATTGCTTGCTCAAACGACCACTTGGATCAGCGCTTGCCCAAAACAAATATTATGCACCTGACCTCAGAATTATTCATCGAACGATTGAGATCCCCACACCCTCGGTGAAACAACGTCCACCTCTGTACACCAAATCGAATCTGATTTATCAATTTCAGTGTAGTTGCGGAGCAACCTACGTGGGTCGAACAGAGCGCCAGTTACGTAACCGAGTGATTGAATATATTCCAAATTGGGTACAACGTTTTGTGATGCAATCAGGGTCAGATCAAAGGCATAATGACAACGTTCGAAACCATAAGATCCCGTCGTCGGCTGTCGGCCGTCGGCCGTCGGCCGTCGCTCGTCATCTTCTGATGACGCAACATCCAGCTGACCGAACCACTGCGTTTCGGGTCATTTACGTGGCAAAGAATACCAGGCTTTTGAGGTTTGTTCAAACCATTGCCATACATTCATGGAAACCTAATATTGTGTCAGCACAAACAGCTCTTTGTTCATGTGTCTTTATCATGGTGACGTAACTTGACTATTGAAATTTCCCCTATATTTGTCGAAAATTATGGTTTTACATGAACTTATATAAACAGTATGGTTGTGCAGTGTGCACCATGTTCAGATGCAGCGAAATCGTCCCGGACACGAATCGTGCAATGTTGCAACTGTGGCTTTTCTTTTCAAGACTATTTCGGGAAAAGCATGTTTAAATTTCCTCAGATCTCGTCTCCCGAAATCAACCATTAGGTCTCTCGATGACCTAGTCAGATTGAGATGTGAAATTGCCACAACTCGAGTCCGTATTCATTTTCTGGAACAACGTGCCCGTTGCAACAGATATCCGATTACGTTTTGCAAACGCTTACGGAGGAATAAAATCTGTGCCTCTACCAGGAATTTGAGACGTTTGATGCGATGTCAGATTGATGATTATAAAGAAAATCTAACGACACTTCAGACCACGTGCATCGAATGATCAATAATTCTTGACGAACTGAGCCTCGTTAGCCGAATCAAATTTACCAACTTGTGCATGGAAAACATACGAGAAGCCAAACTTTGTACATTCAACAAGCTTCAGAATTCCATCGTCCACAAGTTAGTCGAACCAAATTTTCCGAAACAACCAGAAAGGTTTGTGAAGAATTTGTCTCCGGTTAAACGAATGAACTTCAACTACAGGCTCTTTCGTGTGGTCTACGTTTCTGCATACGACCGAGTAAAATGACCAGCATAAAGACACAGGCGCAATTTGAATATCTATTCGAACAACTACAATTAGTCAAACGAACTTGAAAAGATGCGGAAACTTGGTTCAAAGCAAAGCTGGTTGACTTGGAACGACAGTACCGGATGACATCGTCCAAACATAAGTCACTCTTCACGCCTGAGCACATTCACATCCGCCATTGAAGAGCTACAGTTGTGACCTGATTTGTTAGTTTTACGCCCTAACAAGGGGTCCGGAGCAGTGCTGATCGATCGGAATGATTATGAGAAGAAGATGGAAAGTGTTCTTCATGATCCCAGCAAGTTTGTACTCGAAGATGACTGTGAAGACCCTAAAGAACTAGAACAACAGATATCGACAGCAGTACAGTTTCTACTAGAAGGACACTTCATCGATGAAAGCACAGCTCACCATCTGAAGCCAAAAGGAACTCGAAGTGCACAACTGTATGGTTTACCGAAACTAAACAAACCCGGAGTGCCACTTGGACCAATACTACTACTATCTATGACAAATTCACCACAACACGAATTGGCCAAATGGCTGGAGAAATTGCTTGAGCCAGTTCATAAATCAATGGTAAGACACACTATTAAAAAGACAGTTTCGAAGTGGTAAAGCTTTTGGACCAGATCAATGTGAAAGGGAAGCACATGGCTTCATTTGATTTCCAATCACTGTTTACGAATGTTCCCGGTCGGGAGGTCATACGTATCATGTGTGATCATGTGGAGCAAAACGAACTGAAAATCGGTATACCAGTATCAGTTCTGGTACGACAATTACTACTGTGCACAACAAACGTATCGTTCTCCTTCCTTGGTTGGGCTTACAGACAAATTGACGGTGTCGCAATCGGAACTCCATTGAGCCCCATTCTGGCACATCTGTTTTTGGCTCATCTTGAGGAAAAGGCGAGCAAAATCCTCGAACGTTCACAACTTTACAAACGATACGTTGATCATGTTCTAGTCATCACAATAAGTCTAGAAGAGACAACATGGATTATGGATAAACTCGATCGCCTGCATCCGAATATACGATTTACGATGGAAACAGAAATCGAAGATACACTGCACTTCCTCGACATTAAAATGACTAGGAATAATGATGGAACAATGGCCAGATCTGTTTACCGAAAAGAAACTTGGACAGGCCAATGCTTGCAATTTGACAGCTTTGTGTCTGTGGAATATGAACGTGGTCTGGTCCGAACACTATTTCAAACAGCACGACATATCTGCACATAAGACATGATTGACAACGAACTACGACAGCTGAAAGAATCTTTGACTAGAAACGCTTATCCCGATGCGTTTATCGAAAAGCACAGCAAGCCTAAATTGATCAGACAAACGAATTGTTCAGCAGAAAAACTACTAGTCACCATTTGTCTTCCATTCATACGTGATGACATCAATTGCTTGCTCAAACGACCACTTGGATCAGCGCTTGCCCAAAACAAATATTATGCACCTGACCTCAGAATTATTCATCGAACGATTGAGATCCCCACACCCTCGGTGAAACAACGTCCACCTCTGTACACCAAATCGAATCTGATTTACCAATTTCAGTGTAGTTGCGGAGCAACGTACGTGGGTCGAACAGAGCGCCAGTTACGTAACCGAGTGATTGAATATATTCCAAATTGGGTACAACGTTTTGTGATGCAATCAGGGTCAGATCAAAGGCATAATGACAACGTTCGAAACCATAAGATCCCGTCGTCGGCTGTCGGCCGTCGGCCGTCGGCCGTCGCTCGTCATCTTCTGATGACGCAACATCCAGCTGACCGAACCCCTGCGTTTCGGGTCATTTACGTGGCAAAGAATACCGGGCTTTTGTGGTTTGTTCAAACCATTGCCATACATTCATGGAAACCTAATATTGTGTCAGCACAAACAGCTCTTTGTTCATGTGTCTTTATCATGGTGACGTAACTTGACTATTGAAATTTCCCCTATATTTGTCGAAAATTATGGTTTTACATGAACTTATATAAACAGTATGGTTGTGCAGTGTGCACCATGTTCAGATGCAGCGAAATCGTCCCGGACACGAATCGTGCAATGTTGCAACTGTGGCTTTTCTTTTCAAGACTATTTCGGGAAAAGCATGTTTAAATTTCCTCAGATCTCGTCTCCCGAAATCAACCATTAGGTCTCTCGATGACCTAGTCAGATTGAGATGTGAAATTGCCACAACTCGAGTCCGTATTCATTTTCTGGAACAACGTGCCCGTTGCAACAGATATCCGATTACGTTTTGCAAACGCTTACGGAGGAATAAAATCTGTGCCTCTACCAGGAATTTGAGACGTTTGATGCGATGTCAGATTGATGATTATAAAGAAAATCTAACGACACTTCAGACCACGTGCATCGAATGATCAATAATTCTTGACGAACTGAGCCTCGTTAGCCGAATCAAATTTACCAACTTGTGCATGGAAAACATACGAGAAGCCAAACTTTGTACATTCAACAAGCTTCAGAATTCCATCGTCCACAAGTTAGTCGAACCAAATTTTCCGAAACAACCAGAAAGGTTTGTGAAGAATTTGTCTCCGGTTAAACGAATGAACTTCAACCACAGGCTCTTTCGTGTGGTCTACGTTTCTGCATACCACCGAGTAAAATGACCAGCATTAAGACACAGGCGCAATTTGAATATCTATTCGAACAACTACAATTAGTCAAACGAACTTCAAAAGATGCGGAAACTTGGTTCAAAGCAAAGCTGGTTGACTTGGAACGACAGTACCGGATGACATCGTCCAAACATAAGTCACTCTTCACGCCTGAGCACATTCACATCCGCCATTGAAGAGCTACAGTTGTGACCTGATTTGTTAGTTTTACGCCCTAACAAGGGGTCCGGAGCAGTGCTGATCGATCGGAATGATTATGAGAAGAAGATGGAAAGTGTTCTTCATGATCCCAGCAAGTTTGTACTCGAAGATGACTGTGAAGACCCTAAAGAACTAGAACAACAGATATCGACAGCAGTACAGTTTCTACTAGAAGGACACTTCATCGATGAAAGCACAGCTCACCATCTGAAGCCAAAAGGAACTCGAAGTGCACAACTGTATGGTTTACCGAAACTAAACAAACCCGGAGTGCCACTTGGACCAATACTACTACTATCTATGACAAATTCACCACAACACGAATTGGCCAAATGGCTGGAGAAATTGCTTGAGCCAGTTCATAAATCAATGGTCAGACACACTATAAAGAAGACAGTTTCGAAGTGGTAAAGCTTTTGGACCAGATCAATGTGAAAGGGAAGCACATGGCTTCATTTGATTTCCAATCACTGTTTACGAATGTTCCCGGTCGGGAGGTCATACGTATCATGTGTGATCATGTGGAGCAAAACGAACTGAAAATCGGTATACCAGTATCAGTTCTGGTACGACAATTACTACTGTGCACAACAAACGTATCGTTCTCCTTCCTTGGTTGGGCTTACAGACAAATTGACGGTGTCGCAATCGGAACTCCATTGAGCCCCATTCTGGCACATCTGTTTTTGGCTCATCTTGAGGAAAAGGCGAGCAAAATCCTCGAACGTTCACAACTTTACAAACGATACGTTGATCATGTTCTAGTCATCACAATAAGTCTAGAAGAGACAACATGGATTATGGATAAACTCGATCGCCTGCATCCGAATATACGATTTACGATGGAAACAGAAATCGAAGATACACTGCACTTCCTCGACATTAAAATGACTAGGAATAATGATGGAACAATGGCCAGATCTGTTTACCGAAAAGAAACTTGGACAGGCCAATGCTTGCAATTTGACAGCTTTGTGTCTGTGGAATATGAACGTGGTCTGGTCCGAACACTATTTCAAACAGCACGACATATCTGCACATAAGACATGATTGACAACGAACTACGACAGCTGAAAGAATCTTTGACTAGAAACGCTTATCCCGATGCGTTTATCGAAAAGCACAGCAAGCCTAAATTGATCAGACAAACGAACTGTTCAGCAGAAAAACTACTAGTCACCCTTTGTCTTCCATTCATACGTGATGACATCAATTGCTTGCTCAAACGACCACTTGGATCAGCGCTTGCCCAAAACAAATATTATGCACCTGACCTCAGAATTATTCATCGAACGATTGAGATCCCCACAACCTCGGTGAAACAACGTCCACCTCTGTACACCAAATCGAATCTGATTTACCAATTTCAGTGTAGTTGCGGAGCAACGTACGTGGGTCGAACAGAGCGCCAGTTACGTAACCGAGTGATTGAATATATTCCAAATTGGGTACAACGTTTTGTGATGCAATCAGGGTCAGATCAAAGGCATAATGACAACGTTCGAAACCATAAGATCCCGTCGTCGGCTGTCGGCCGTCGGCCGTCGGCCGTCGCTCGTCATCTTCTGATGACGCAACATCCAGCTGACCGAACCACTGCGTTTCGGGTCATTTACGTGGCAAAGAATACCAGGCTTTTGAGGTTTGTTCAAACCATTGCCATACAGTCATGGAAACCTAATATTGTGTCAGCACAAACAGCTCTTTGTTCATGTGTCTTTATCATGGTGACGTAACTTGACTATTGAAATTTCCCCTATATTTGTCGAAAATTATGGTTTTACATGAACTTATATAAACAGTATGGTTGTACAGTGTGCACCATGTTCAGATGCAGCGAAATCGTCCCGGACACGAATCGTGCAATGTTGCAACTGTGGCTTTTCTTTTCAAGACTATTTCGGGGAAAGCATGTTCAAATTTCCTCAGATCTCGTCTCCCGAAATCAACCATTAGGTCTCTCGATGACCTAGTCAGATTGAGATGTGAAATTGCCACAACTCGAGTCCGTATTCATTTTCTGGAACAACGTGCCCGTTGCAACAGATATCCGATTACGTTTTGCAAACGCTTACGGAGGAATAAAATCTGTGCCTCTACCAGGAATTTGAGACGTTTGATGCGATGTCAGATTGATGACTATAAAGAAAATCTAACGACACTTCAGACCACGTGCATCGAATGATCAATAATTCTTGACGAACTGAGCCTCGTTAGCCGAATCAAATTTACCAACTTGTGCATGGAAAACATACGAGAAGCCAAACTTTGTACATTCAACAAGCTTCAGAATTCCATCGTCCACAAGTTAGTCGAACCAAATTTTCCGAAACAACCAGAAAGGTTTGTGAAGAATTTGTCTCCGGTTAAACGAATGAACTTCAACTACAGGCTCTTTCGTGTGGTCTACGTTTCTGCATACCACCGAGTAAAATGACCAGCATAAAGACACAGGCGCAATTTGAATATCTATTCGAACAACTACAATTAGTCAAACGAACTTCAAAAGATGCGGAGACTTGGTTCAAAGCAAAGCTGGTTGACTTGGAACGACAGTACCGGATGACATCGTCCAAACATAAGTCACTCTTCACGCCTGAGCACATTCACATCCGCCATTGAAGAGCTACAGTTGTGACCTGATTTGTTAGTTTTACGCCCTAACAAGGGGTCCGGAGCAGTGCTGATCGATCGGAATGATTATGAGAAGAAGATGGAAAGTGTTCTTCATGATCCCAGCAAGTTTGTACTCGAAAATGACTGTGAAGACCCTAAAGAACTAGAACAACAGATATCGACAGCAGTACAGTTTCTACTAGAAGGACACTTCATCGATGAAAGCACAGCTCACCATCTGAAGCCAAAAGGAACTCGAAGTGCACAACTGTATGGTTTACCGAAACTAAACAAACCCGGAGTGCCACTTGGACCAATACTACTACTATCTATGACAAATTCACCACAACACGAATTGGCCAAATGGCTGGAGAAATTGCTTGAGCCAGTTCATAAATCAATGGTCAGACACACTATAAAAAAGACAGTTTCGAAGTGGTAAAGCTTTTGGACCAGATCAATGTGAAAGGGAAGCACATGGCTTCATTTGATTTCCAATCACTGTTTACGAATGTTCCCGGTCGGGAGGTCATACGTATCATGTGTGATCATGTGGAGCAAAACGAACTGAAAATCGGTATACCAGTATCAGTTCTGGTACGACAATTACTACTGTGCACAACAAACGTATCGTTCTCCTTCCTTGGTTGGGCTTACAGACAAATTGACGGTGTCGCAATCGGAACTCCATTGAGCCCCATTCTGGCACATCTGTTTTTGGCTCATCTTGAGGAAAAGGCGAGCAAAATCCTCGAACGTTCACAACTTTACAAACGATAC